GGGGGGGGGGGGGGGGGGGCACGGTGTCCCGGCGGGAAAAACCCTTACCAAGTCCGCCGTGCGTAAGGTACAGACGGCTTCAGATTAGGCTCTGGTGTTTCCCTTGCAGCACCTTGTCGCTCTGTGATGTAATCGCGAGGCAATAAACTTGTCGGTTGTTTCGCAGATGGACGGCGGGTACGATGACCTGGGCCCTCCCACGCACCCGAACGAGTTGGCGGACATAGGGGGAGGGAGGGAGCTAGACGACGCGGCGGAGATGATGGACTTCGGCAACGACGGCGGCGATGGGTTTGACGAGCCTGAGGTAGACGCGCCGGAGTTCAACCCGGACATGGAGGAACACCTGGGACAGGTGCGTTCTGGAATTGGCGGATCACGACCGCCCTACAGCAGTGGGTCGGCTGACCAATGAAGAGATTATGTTATTTTGGTGTTGTTTGTGTGTGTGGTTCTGTTTATGACATCGGCCACGCTTACCGCCTGGCCGATGAAAAAGAGGTAAGTTTACGAGGTGTGCGGTGTAGAAGTCGCGAGCACAGCAGTTTGTAGATGTACTAAGCGGACCCCCTCGCTCCTCTACCGGAAAAAAGGCGGTGGGGCGGGAGGTATGTTGTTTATGTTTGTTCGGCAGGGTCCCAGTCTCCCATGTTCGCAGCCCTTGCAGGAGTTCAAAACAAGTCAATGTCGGAAGATGCGCAAGAACAAAACTTGTTTTTTGTCCGCCCACCTTTGGTAGCGTTGTTCTCTCTCTCTCTCTCTCTCTCTCTCTGTCTCTCTCTCTCTCTCTCTCTGTCTCTCTCTCTCTCTCTCTCTCTCTCTCTCTCTCTCTCTCTCTCTCTCTCTCTCTCGAAGTTCTGGCAAGTATCGATCGTCGCAGTAATGTGTTCAGCATCTGTGGTGTTTACATGGTACTTCGTATTCAGCGTAGTGGTCGCCTACAGTAGTGGAAGAAGTTATGTCACTCTCGGCTGTAAGTCATGACCCAATTTAACGCAAGAACGACGACATGACATGTGCATGGAATGATGCTTGCAGGGGGGCGAGGGCGAAGAGGTGCTGCCGGGAGCCGTTCAGCTGGACGACGATACCCTAGACTTCGATGATGCTGGCTTCTCGCGGTCGGAGTTGCCGCCTGTTGGCGGAGCAGAAGCAGCCGTGGACCAATCGGACGGGGAGCCGCAAGAGGAAGAGGACCACGAGGTACAGCTCGGCTGATTTAAGTATCAAGTACCTGTTATTTTCACACACAGAGAGGTAACGAACACAATGTTCGCTCTGTACTTCCTGCTGGTGTGAGCAAGAACTCTCTCTCTTTCTCTGTAGTTTGATGAAGGTCACCCAACATGATGTATGTATGCAACTTCTCTTTCAAAGACAGAGAGGTACGCCTAACTTTGTGTGTGGGTGTTCTTGTTCTTGTTTTTGTTGTGCTCATGTTGCTTGTGTACTACCGTAATTTTTTTGTAGTTTGCGCCCTTCGATGTAGGCTACATCCTCTGTCGTGTCAGTATTTTCTGGGCGCGGACCAGGTGGTCGATAACTGCAGTGTTGCCGTTCTACACTAGGCAAGGGCGGTGTGGTAATCAATCTAGAAGCGGGAGAGGTTTCCGAACCGGAACATTTGCCTTCAGCAGCGTAAGGTCACCGTAGCTGTGTGCCCGGCTGCTCGTGGGGGAGGGGAGGAAGAAGGAAGGGAAGTGTGGCGTGGTCCTCACACGGCGGATGTTGGGATTTTGAGTCTTAGCCGTGGCAACCAACGTGCCCGTCTCTGCGTTTCGCGGTCCAAAGTCTGGTCTCGGCAGCCTGTGCCCCCGCCTGCCCTGATGCAAGGGATCGGTGCTCTTGCAGCCAGCTCAGGATGGTGGTCGGTGTTGTTGACATGGTTATCATGGATGGATCGGTCTGTTGACGTTCGAATACGATGGGAATAATTTTCACGAAGCCATCACCCTCCAGTCGCAGGCTGTCCTATCCCCCCACCAATCTACAGAGGTGTCATTCCTCTTTCTCATGTTAAGTTCAGACGTATTGTCCATCTAATTTGTCTGGGTCTGATTTCGGAACGTTGCCACCGCTTTTACGTTTCATGTTTGGCGTCTCATTATATCCCGCGGAGCAGCCCAAGGTCAAGCCCAAGGCCACGCGCACTCGCAAGCGGAAGCTTGTTCTCGACCAAGTTACTCTCATCGACATGGCCACCATGAAGGCTCAGCTACAGGTATGTATGACCTCCCTTCTTCTCTCTCCCTCTCTCTCTCTACCTCTACCTCTCGCTCTTAACGCCTCTCTCTCTCTCTCTCTCTCTCTTTGCCGATAAGAGTTTTGGTTTGAGTTGTACCATTTCGGGTTGTGTGGCTCTGTAGCTGTGTTCAGTCGGGAAATGATGTTGCTTGATGTCGATTCGGGCCTCTCTTTTTTATTTCTCTCTCTCGATCTCGATCTCGACTCGTGTCGATACACCCAGAGGTGGACAAGCAGAAACGGAGGTGAACTGCTGTGCGTGGCCTTCGTTGTTTGCAAGTCGGTTGTTTTCCTCTGTAGTCTACATGGCCGAGTTTGTCGTGATTTCGTGGCAGTTCGACGATTCAAGTCGTGTTGTGTGTGTTGTTGAAATTCGCCGGCGTGGTGTTGTGTTTTCTCCTCCGCAGGACACCTCTGACATCACCCGCAAGCGCTGGCGGGGGCCCCGGCGAATCGTCCAAGCGTCCCTCACCCCTGAGGAGCAGCTGGCGGCCCCGCTCATGCCCTGGCTCGCCCCACCCATCCAAGACATGCTCAGGTAAGCCACGGGTGTTACCATAGCTATCTGTTGCGTCCTGAACCACTGCTGTCAAATGTAACGTCGCTGATCGCTCAGCAGCAACATCAAGCATCCATATATATATATATTTTTTTTCCTTTCCTTTTTTCCCGCCATTCCTGTGGCGCCCGCCGTTGTTGCGGTTCGGTTCTCGATATGGTTCGGTTCTGCCAGGGCGTGCATGCACCCTGGGGGTTTCCCCTTCCCGGTGCGGTTGCGAGCGCCGGCGGCGGGAGAGGGGGGCGGCGGCGGAGGCGGTGGCGCGGCGGGCACGCAGGGGGAAGAGGATGTGGGGGCGGAGGAGGAGGAGGAGGAGGAGGAGGTGATGGGCCCTGACCCAACGGTCGATGGAAACGTGAGCGCTGTGTGTCTGATACCTGATGCCTGATAGGTCATAATTCTCGCTCCGGGGAGAGAAGACTGGAATCGATCCTTGACTCTTTTATTTGTTTCGACGAGGGTCTGGAGGAAGAAAATTTCGAGCAGCCCTCGGCCCACGGTTGTTGTGCTCGTTTCTCGGCTTTGCGGCCGTTTATGTGACCAGCCCCTTGCCCAAAGTGAACTTGGTGCCTGCCTTTAGGATCGATACTTTTGCATAATTTAGGAATCAACAGACACATTGTAGGGCCTCCAGGTTTTAGGGTGTTGTCAACGAGAGCAAACATCCGCTTCGATGATGACCACCACCATCATGAAACACCCCCAATCATCCAATCGCCCAATCATGGCACAAAAAAACTCTCAACGACGTGGTGTGATGTCAATCAATGTGCTGTCGACGATGACAATCACCACCACCGTGATCATGAGACAATCACGAAGCAGTGTGGTGTACTGTCAACAGGCACATCAACGTCAACATCAACAGGACCACGATGACGTGGAGGTTACTCGTCGGGCAGATGACAGCCGACACTCGATGGGGGCGGGCGGGTTGATGGACACCTCGCTCGGGTCTGCCTTCAAGGACAACGCTGCAGGTGTGCGGTGCGGTGGGGCGGGGTACAGTACAGCACTGAGTCTTGTTGCTTCCGCTTGCCGTCGTGTGTTTGTGTCTTCGATTGGCGTCGACCGCGCTAGCCGGCTGGCCGATAGAAAGAGGCCATTCCCGGTGCGGTAGTCGACTGGAAAATGCTTCTAAAGGCTACGAACTGGGTTGTTGTCTGTTTGTCGTGAAGGAAAGAGTAGTTCCGGCGAAAAGGGAAGTGCTGTAACGCAAGATGAGGTTGGCGTTTTTTGATGCATTATGTATTAGCGTTCGGTAGCTTCTCAACGGGGTTTGCGCAATGCCGCCAGTACCTCTCCCTCCCCCCCTCTGTCTTGTATCCCCCCTCATTTCCTGTAGGGCGCAAACAGCAGTAGCCTGGCTCTCATGTTGCTGGACACCCAGAGCAGCTTAGCTCTCTTCGTCTCTCCGGTACCGCTTCTCTCCCCCAGACTGACCTTCTCGTCAACACGACACGTCACCGCCTTGCTACCCAAGGGTCAACATGTGATCCCGCCGTCGCCCCACCTGTTCATAACTTCTTGACTCCTCACGTTCATGTGTGTGGTGTTTGTGCCAACTCCCTTTGCTCGTTAGCTTGGCATTGCATTGTGTGCTGTGTGTTCCCGACGTTCTCAACTTGTTAACTTGACAAAGATACAACCTGTGCGCTGTGCATGTCAATTTTCTGCCCGATTCAATCAATTGACAAGTGTGCTCGTCTCCATCGCCCCTCCATGACGCCCAACGTGATCGTTCCACATCTTTTTTATCTCCTCTTCTCTGACCCTTCAGGTCTTGAGATGGATAGACCCGGTGAGGGAGAGGGCGGAGACGTGGATGCTTTCGAGCTCGGCGACGCGATGGACGTGGGAAACGACGGAGACGGAGAGATGGAGGACTTCGGCGACGGTGGGTTCGAAGCCGACCTCAACCTCAACGACGATTTGGCCCCGGACATGCAGGTGAGTCTGTGTGTGTACACCACGTCTTGTGTACGATACCGTTACCGTTAACGTTGCCCTTGGTGTTTCTTTTGGTTTCACTGTGATGTGTTTGGCTTGCGGGCGTGAGGTGGACCGAGTAGGCCTATTTCTTCGGGATTATTTTACGATTTTGGTGTATCCAATATCCAATATGTCATTGTACCTGCCGGCACGTGTGGGGTAGATTGGTGTGTTTTTTTTTTCGGTAAGGTAATCCCATACCCATTGTTTCCTCGTGCCCATGGTGCAATGCCCAGCTGTGCTCCTCGGTTGTGCGCATTAAGCTTGGAATCGTCTTGGAATGACTCCGTCAAGCGTGGCGACGTACGCCGATGAAACCGATTGTCGTTTTTCGTTTCGATGTTACGATCGTTGTGAACGGTCCAGTCGAATGTGGTGTTCATGCTGTTCTCTATATGCAATTTATTCCTGTGTCGAGAGACTGGACCCCCGTCTCGCCAGGACAAGCTGTAGTTTCGGTTTGAGAGCCCTGCTGCACAATGTCAATACGAGATGCCGCCCTGCCTAAATGGTACGCACATGCATATCCAGCTCGTTCTTTTTTTTTCTCGAATTTTGGCCGCCTTTCGCGATGTCGTTATCTACCGCACACCCGTGGTCTGTTGTATGTTCTCATGTTCTGATGAAGTGAAGCACAGCAAACCCATTGTTGTCACTAACGAGTGCATTAGAATGATCGGACCGCCAATTGGTTTCTTCGAACACGTTTCTCACCATCGACCGATTTCACCAACCATTTTCCCACCCCTAACGACCCCCCCCCCCGCTATCACGAACCGCGTCTCCCAACGTTAGGATGGCGGCGGCGACCTAGACCTTGGGGGAGGGGTCAACGACCTCGAAGCAAGCCGTGACCTGGCCAACGACAACGACAACGACAATGACAAGCGAAACGCCGACCACGATCAAGATCAAGACCAAGACGAGAATGACGAGGACAAGGAGGCTTCGGCGCTGGAGGGGGCCGGGGCTGGGGGCGATGCCGCGGAGACCGGAGCGTTGCCTAGACACAAGTGGCATCCGCACACCGTCAAGGTGATCAAGAGCGGTCTGACTTGGATTGTGGCGGGCACACGTGACGGCCCTTCGTAGATCGTGACGACCACCATTTGTAGATCGTGACGACAGCTTTTGCTTCGGAGATATTGACGACGACCCTTGGTAGATATTGACGACGACCCTTCGTAGATCGTGACGACCGCCCTTCGTAGATCGTGGCGGCCACCCTTCGTAGATCATGACGACCACCTCTCGTATTTTGATCTTGCCGACGGCTCTTCGTAGATCGTGACGACCACCTTTCGTATTTGATCGTGACGACGGCCCTTCGTACTGTAGATCTTTACGACGCCTCTTGTGCCGTGCCCGGCTCGTTGTTGTGGTGGTGAATCCGTACCGTACCGTACCGTACCAGGTCCTCCGGCTGGTGCAAAAGCAGCTCAAGGCCCCCACCGGGCCCGGGGTTACACACGCCTCCTTGACTCGCGGTGCCACGAGGCGGACAGCGGCGGGGGCGTTCTTCGAGCTGCTGCAGGTTGGTCACTGGTCACACTAGCACTACGTATTCAATCAAGATATTTCATGGAGCACCGTGGGGCTTTCTTTTGTTTCTCTCCGTCAAGAGGATGCATGGTGACATGCGTTGGTATCGGGTCTTGTATGTTGGAGTGCTGGATGATACTCTATGTGCGTGCATCGCAGAATAGTGTCGAGGCAGGGTGCTCCGTGCCCCTTCCGTCTCTCTCTACGCGTCGATAGGTAGAACGCGGATACGCTCCACGATCACGGTTTCCTGAAAACAATGCAAGTCTGGTGTTGGTGCTGATTGTACGGCGACGACTCCGGCTTGAGGAACGAGGGCTGCCAGCACACGAAAGTAGACGCAGACACCGATTCCATCTCATCGCTCATTCTCCCTGCTACCAACGCCGTCTGCGAGTTTGCTTGTTTTTTGCATGTTTGTTTGTTTTTTGCTGTAGTACGCACGCATGCAGAACGATGCTTCGTGTTATTTTTTTTTTATCATTTTTATCCGGCCTCTCGTGGTAAGGCATCGGGAACCAAAACATTGAAACCGTTCCCAAAACAAACGCAAATTTACTCTCGTGTGTGTAGCGCCGCATCGCCGCTGGTTTGATATACGTCACGCCACGTGGGCACTTTCAGTACCCCTTTGATAGCCCCGACTTTCCGTTCAACACCTTGCTTGTCGTTTTTTTGTAGCTCAAGACGTGGGACTTTGTGGAGTTGTCCCAGCAGGAGTCGTACGGAGACATCGAGGTCACAGCAGGCGTGAGTACGTGTCTTGTGTTTGTGCGTGAAAGCGAGAAAGAGAGAGAGAGAGAGAGAGAGAGAGAGAGAGAGAGAGAGAGAGAGATTCAGGTTGGCACTTGGCGCGATGCTTCCGCGCTTTCTCCATTTCGTGGGCCGGAGCAAATGGCATGTAGACCTTGACTTGATACGATCGAGTTCTTGTGGAGACCATGCTGTTACAATTCGGTTTCGGGCGTTTGGCATGGATCATGGTCATTTATGCTTAAATATTAGCGTAGGCCCCCCCGCAGACCGTTGTATCCTGAGCGATGAACCAGGTATATTGTTGGGGCCGTTCACTCTTCATGCAAATCGCTCTGCGCAAGGGTCAACGTTAAGGTTTGGGTGTCCTCTCGCACGGTTTATTTTTTTGTGTGTGTGTTGAAGTGTTGAACGTTAACACTCCGACGGCACCCGCACTAGCAGCGAGGCTTTTTCTGGAGACTTCGTGGCTAGTCAGGGGGCGCGATGGCACCGGATGGCCGCCCGTTGTGGAGTTCTGTCACGGCGGTGGAGAGCTCTCCACGGACGCGTTTAGCAGCGAGAGATACACCCCCTCGTTTGTTGTGAATCAATGGCTTAGACTACAACCTAGGTCGCACAGCTGTCTTAGTTTAGCGACCCGCGTATCCGACAACCCGGCGTTCGACGGCCGCAGTCCTTCATACGAAGTGTCCTCACCGATTTCAACTCGGAATCCGCCTCGGGCACTACGCTAACCCCAACCCACTCAACTCTCTTATGTTCCGTTTCCTCGCCTGTGGTTTGTTCTGTTGTTGTTCTTCGGACGGTCGGTCTATTGGCCTTTGGCGCGGCGTGCGGCGGTACAGCCGCGTCTTGGCGACAAGGTCCAGGCCGCCAACGTCTAGGCCTGTTGTGCTGCATTCCATGTTGAAATTTTTTCGTCAGTGTACTTGTAGGACCCGTTTATCCGGGTGGTAAAAAGGCCTAGCCTAGCTTAGCCGGGGAGGGAGGGCGGGTGGGTGGGTGGGTGGGTGATTTCAATCCCATGTGAAGTGAAGATCGATGGACTTTTCTTGTTGGACTTGCCCTCGGTTTCCTGCACTTTGTGTTGCTTGGCGCCTTTGCCGAAATTCGTTTAGCGTTTCGTGTCTGCTATTTACTGTTTCATGAGGGGCACCGTAGGCTGAAGGAATAGTTAAGACGTACGTAGTTTTTCATGTTGTCACACTGCCGAATGGGCCAATCGCCGTCTCAGCACGACAGGACAGCTGTCTCTATTGTAGGAGCACGCGAGGGTACTGTATGGATGGACTGCGGGGGGGGTATTTAGGAATACTTTTGCGGGACATCACCGACTGGAATGTAGAGGGGGTGCGGGCGGTGTTGTTCAGAGTGTGTAGGCGAACATTCGGCAAACGTTATTTATCTTCTCGCGACAATTTAGGTTGCCGGATGTAGTCCTGGAGAGTAGATGGGCGACAAACGGAAACCAGGGTAGAGCTATCTTCTTTTTCACAAAACTTGTTCGGGGGGTCGGGGTGGGCGTCTTGAAGGGCCGTGATGGCACTGCATGGATTGGCTCGGGACTACGGGAAATTGGCGCTCTGCCGTTAGGTATTGTACTGTTGGCGTTCGTGAACGATCGATCTTTGTTCTCTGGGGACATGTCACTTGTACAGTAGGAAGACAGGCACGCGAAGCAAGCATTTCATACTTCATACTTCATACTTTGTGCTGTCGCGCTAGAAAGCTAGAAAGGGAGTCTTGTCGATGTTTCGGAGCGAGGTTTAGCGAAGCGTACAACACCCCGCACGTCCGCGCGGGTGTTACGCGCGGGGTGTTGGGCGCGGGGCTTTGGGAAGTTCTCATCAGGTACTGTAGTCTGTCTCTACTTTTTGGGTTTGAACGGGGCGTGTTGGTGACACGCGTGAATTCCGAAGGATAGATGAACCAACTTGGCGCCCTCGCACAATACTGTCATGGCACGGAAGAAGCCGAGTCTCTTCTTCGTTATCCGGAAGGAGACTCGGAAAACTGGCTTTGACTTTCGGTTGTGTGGATGCCCCGAGGTGTGCGCACATGAGCGATGTTTTTTCTCTCGGTGTCATCCGCTTGGTCGGAAAGACACCCACACACTGCCAATGACGGGCCTAGGAACAGCAGCGCGCCCGTGTTTTGCACACCGGACCGAAGAATAGCAGTATGTAGTAGAAGTGGAACCGGCGAATAATGAACGACCCTTTCGCCAGAGGAGCCAGGCAGCTTTATGTTGCGTTTTGATGCACGCTTCTAACGCCGCTTACCGATTTATGGCGAAACAACCGCGTTGTTTTGACACAGTTGTCGGTAGACTTGGAGCGGGCGTGGAGATTCAGGGGATCCTGCCTTCCGAATGCACTTGTCTACTCCGCTTGCCGTGGTGTACAACACTATCGTTGGTACTATATATATGGTGCCTGGAGGACTTACAGAGCAAGTCGATCGACAATTGCTTCTGTATCTCCCTTTATTTTCGCCGCTCAGGATGGATGACCCTCCCACAACCAGGAAGCGAAGCGTTGTCCTTGAAGGAGATTGAAACCACTTGCTCCATTGACGGAGACGATGCAATGAATGGTGATCTTAATGTCACCTGTGTAGACACGGAGAGCGGAATTGTCGGGAGAGAGAGGTCGGTACAACAGCGGCACGTACAAACTTTTTTATTGTCGGCCGAGCTTGCTACCACTGTACCCCCGCTGACTCGATTAGTACCAAGCACCGGCGGACGTTCTCGATCATGAATGCTTCAATTTATTGTGTGGCTATTTCGGTCCCTGCAATAAAACATTGACCGTGTGTGTGGGCATCTCGAACGGGTAGTCTTTCTGTGTGTGTTTTTTGGATGTACTTTTTATGTACGCAACACCAACCAGTAGTCTTGCCGTTGCCATGGATTTTCAGCAGCAATGAAAAGTACGTATGCATGCGTCCGTGGATGAACAGTCTGGTCTACAGAGTATGTCGTCGTCCCCAGTTCGAGACTCTCTCAATGTACATTCCTCAACCAGGCAACGCGTTTGTGTGTTTCAGTTTTTTCAGAGCGGATGGATGGACGATGAATAATGCCGGTACACGTCGTTTCACTTGTTGTTGTACAAAACCGGCCCGCACTTAAGAACCTCTTATTTGGAGCGAGGCTCGCTTCTTGTTGGCTGCCCCAAGCAGAGCACAAGTTCTTATTTGCTAAGTTCTTATTTCCTCGTCCAGTTCTCCAGAAAAGGTGTGTTCTTGTTCTTTTGTCATCATCGAATGCTCAATTGGTGCACTACTCTCAACTGCACTCGACCCAGAGTTTCATGCCGCAAACACCCCCCTCATATGGGGTAACTGTCAACCGTCTTGGTCCACAAGAGTGACGTTGGGGGTGCGTACCTTTCCCGCCCTACTGACGCTCTCAAGCAAAACCCACGAGCCTATCGCCGCGTCCGGATCTCCGCTGTACTTGTCCAAGGGCAGCTTCATCTTGCGCGTACTGTGGTCTACCTCCAGCTGCACACAGTAGTCGTACAGGTGGCGCTGCGGAGATTGCTGAATGATCAACCCACCGAACCACCCCATGCCCAGCCTAACAAGCACTCCACGTTGCAAAAGCAATCTGTCAAGAGCAGCGGGGGTAGATTCTTGGAGGCGAAAGCCCGCCGGGATCTCCATTCCCTGCGTCTCGTCCTCCGGGTCGTCTGGGTCCATGCTGTCGTCCTCGTCCAAAAGAGCTAGCTCGTCGGTCTGGGATTGAGACATGTCTGCGACAAAGGGTACCGTGAAACACGAGAAGGAACGTACGGGTGTCATCGCCGTTACTCAACTGAAGCACACCATGTGTTCGTAGACGTGACGCGGAAACAGAATATCAGCAATATCCCAAACAGCACAAGGAAAAATGAACAAAAAGGACAATCAACAACGGTAAAGATGAATAAGCTGTAGTCTATGTAGTGCCAATCAAACTCACCGTCGTCGTCTTCATCGCTGTATCCAGCGTCCTCCACGCCCTCCCCGTTGTTGGCACCGTTGCGCTCATCTCCGACGACCGGCTCGCGCCCTCCGGCGCCCTCCTCCTCCCGCCTCTCGGGCCCATCGCTGACGTCCTCCGAACCTCCTTCGTTCTCGCTGGAGTCTTCATCGTTTGCGAAGGTGTACGGCTGGTCCAAACCCTCCAAGGTGATTCGATCATCGCCTGAGCCGTCCACGGTCATCGCCATCCCGCACTTTTCGAAAAGGCGGTGTCGGTACCCCTGATTGCTGTTGAGTTTTGCCATGGCCGCTCCCGTCCATTGAGTGATCAGTACGCGCCGGTCAGAAGCTGTCAGCGACGCGGTTTCCCACCTCT